ATGAGGACCAAGACCCTATCATGTCGAAGTCAAGGGCCCCGGTGACCGAGAGTTAAGACGCATTACATCACTTGTAGTATGAACGCTCCTTAGCCCTCACACTTGGTTTGACACCCCAAACCAAGTAATGCAATGCATGTTATGCAAACATGGCTCAAAGATGCAACATGAGATTGAGATGCAAGGCATGCCAATTGCCATGTAACTACCATGGCAAGTATGCAATGCTAGGCATGCAAGATGCAAATGCAATGCAAACATAGACGGTTTAAGCAATAGGATCATCATATTACAACACCTAATGAAGCAATCATGCAACAAACATGAGACAAGCATGCAATGGCGGCCTTAAACCATAAAGGGGCAGACCTCAATCCACCTCAAAACAGCGGCCAAAAGTGCCCAAAATGGCGGACAAACACTCATGCCAACACGCAAGCCAATGGACCTAAGACTAAGGCACAAGAAGGGGGGCACTTTACTTCCACTAACATGACCATTCATGGCATGAATTAGACAAGCAAAAACAGAATCCTATCGTGCAAAAATGGACTCCAAACCCACCGATATGGCAGCTTAAATGGCTCCAATGAGATGCATTCACCAAAACTCATTTCTAGGCATAAAAGGGCACATCTTTAAAGCATGAAAGAGGTCACATATGCAGGCATACAAACATGATTTATGGACTGAAATACGATCCGATGCGTACTAGTGACTCAATTGAGCACTTGGTAGAGTTGTATGTTAGGGAGATAGTTCGGCTTCACGGGGTTCCGGTAACCATTGTGTCAGATAGGGATCCTCGTTTCACCGCCTGATTATGGCAGAGCCTTCAAGAAGCATTGGGAACCAAATTGACCTTTAGCACCACTTACCACCCTCAAACCGATGGGCAGTTGGAGCGCACAATTCAAATTTTGGAGGATATGCTTAGAGCTTGTGTCCTAGATTTCAAGGGATCTTGGGAGAGACACTTACCATTGATTGAATTTGACTACAACAACAGTTATTAGGCTAGCATTGAGATGGCACTGTTTGAGGCCTTGTATGGCCAACCTTGTAGGTCACCAGTTTGTTGGGCTGAAGTAGGGGATGCACCGTTGTTGGGTCCGGAGATTGTTAGGGAGACAACCGAGAAAGTTGCTCTCATTCGAAAGAGGTTAGCTACGGCCCAAAGCCGACAGAAGAGTTACGCCGATAAGAGGAGACGACCTTTATCCTTTGATGTGGGTGATCACGTATTTCTTAAGATCTCACCTAGACGAGGTTTGATGAGGTTTGGCAAGAGTGGGAAGTTGTCTCCAAGGTTCATTGGGCCTTTTGAGATATTGGAGAGAATCGGGGAAGTGGCATATCGGTTAGCCTTACCGCCACAACTTTTAGAGGTTCACAATGTGTTTCACGTGTCTATGCTTAGGAAGTACGAGCCCGACCCATCTCATGTGCTAGATTGGGTTGATTTGGAGGTAGATGAAGACGACTCTTACGAGGAACGACCGGTTCAAATCCTAGATACCCGGGAGCAAGTATTGCGGGGTAAGACCATACCGTTAGTGAAGGTGTTGTAGAGACACCATGGGATTGAGGAAGCAACTTGGGAACGGGAAGCGGAAGTCCGCGCCAAGTATCCATATTTATTTAGGCATGTTTAGTTGTTTTGTTCTAAATTTGTAATGCTCCCAAGTGTTGAATGGAAAATGTGTTGAATTGTTGATCACATGTTGCTGTATGTAGTGTTAAACTAAATTTTGAGGTTGTGAAAGAAAGAAATTTTATTGCAAACGTTTTGTTTCGTATATCTGGTGTAAGCAATTGTAGCCTTGATGAAATGATAAGGAAGAAAATGAGGTATGTTGGTTAAATTTTGGTGTTGTGATTTGATAGTGCTGTTGAAAAATGATCACCGTTGTTAGGACACTCTTATTGGGTGAGTTTTTTTCTTTTTTCTTTTTTTTTTTGATTTTGGGGAGTTTACTTAAATTTCGGGGACGAAATTTCCTAAGGTTGGGAGGTTGTGACGACCGGGTCTTCCTTTTCCTCGCTTTGTTCTCTTTTCTTTCTTTCTTCACTCTGCCTTTCTTTTATTCTCGTTGAGCTTGAAATGTCCAGAATTTAGCTTTCAAAATAAAAACCTTTTTCTTGTTGCGTTTTGGTATTGGATCTCACTTGTTCTGGAGAGCGCGAGGACAAGTCCGGAGTGTCCGGGAGCCAAATCAGGAAATTCTGGACTTCGGGACTGGGGCCGCACGTACGGGGTTGGGGGCGCACGTGCGGGAGGCCAAGCCGCATGTGCAGGAAGAGAGGAGCCCGAGTGAGTTGCATTCTGCTTAATATGCAGGTGCGGGGGGCAGGTGCGGGACCAGCCGCACATGCAGGGATCAGTGCCGCACGTGCGGGAGAGGGAAGCCCCGCACGTGCGAGCCGGGGCTGATCCAAAGCTCTGCTTTTTTAACCCTTTTTGCAGAATTTGTAACCCATTTGGGGCCTCTCATTCTCACTCTAAACCTCATATTTTCTCCTCCTTCTCTCTAAAAACCTTCATTTAGCACTCCAAACCCTTGATCTCTTGTGATTCTTGGGCCAAAGATCCCCATCATTCCTCCTAAATCTTGAAGATCAAGATTAGGTTTCTCTTGGTGTTGAGGAAATTGAACAACATCCCACCTTAGAGCTAGGGTTCCATCATTTTCTTCATCAATCTTTGAGGTAGGGATTCTTGAGTTATATGTATTGTTATGGTATTTTGATAATGATTTAAAAGTCTTCTATTAGTTTGATGATTTCAACTTGTGGTTTCAAAAATGTAGAGATTATTGTCAAAAGAGGGTTTCTCTTTAAACTTCAAAATCTTTGACAATCTTTGAGGGTTTCATCTTGTTAATCTAAAAAAGATGTTTTGATGAGGGTTTTTCATCAAGAAGTGGGAAGGGATTGTCTTGCGGAAAAACCCTAGAAATTGGGGATTTTAAGAAAATATGAAAATACTTGTGAAACTCTTTATTATTTTGTGTTATGAAGATGAATGAGATGTTTTTGTAGCATAATTGTTAAAATGTGTGAACATATGTTGTTGGAGGTGATAAATAACCTTGTATCATGGATGTGGAAATGGTAAGAATCTTGGAATTATGTTGAAAATCACTGTTTTGCCTTGAAGAGGCTAACTTGTAGTGGATTAAGCATGGTGAGTTGTTGTTGCTATGAATTGTTGGCACACGGGGATTAATCAATGTTGTTGTAGAGATTTTGAAATAGAGAAATGTTATGGCATATTATGTTTTGCATCGTGTTCTCATTTGGTCTATTGTCATAAATGCACATCTTGAAGAGAATTGGAAAACGATTATTTTGAGAAAGATTATGTTGTAATAAAAATTAATGGGAATGTGAAAGGGGTAAATACGTTGGTAAGTCTAGTTAGGGGGTGTTGATGACTTTGAAAAGTTGGCCTGAGTGTCCATGGTGAAAGACCAGAAAATCGCGCGGATAGGTGTCGAGCCTTCCGGTTAGCATCAGTAAAAATGACATTTTGGTAGTGCTTGTTGAGCCTACTTGCAGACACCAGCCTAGGGATTACCAGTGTCATATTTACTGCCCCTATTGATTAATGATTGGAAACTTTGGGAATATGTTGAGGTGGCAAATGATTGTTGGAAAGATCGAAAGTTTTTAAAGTGTGCATGAAATGAATTTTCCTTAAAGGATGCATGGCATGGCATTAATATTTCATTGTTTCATGAATATGCATAACTGTATATACTTTGTAAGAATTCTCTACTAGGCTTTGTGCTCACCCCTATGGGATTTGGTGCAGGTAAAGACGTGGTGATCCCACCGAACTAAGGGCCTGGATATTTTTGAGAAGAGTAAATAGCTCTTTTATTTTGTTGTAATTCTTTTGTGAGCCAAGGGCTAATGTGTATGGGTTCGAGAAACCATTTCTTGAAACCAGGCTATTGCCTTGAAAGATGTAAGCCCTTAAGGGCATTTTGTTATTTGAGACTAAGTGCTTTACATGCTATAGATTCATATGTTTTGTATCGATGAATGTATATCCGCATGTAAAACTTTTGTTGACTCATTATTAATTATGTAAAGATGGGTAGATTATTGTCATTATTGGGTGAATGTTGATTATTGTGAGTAGCTCATGTTGAATAAACTTCGTGGTGTTACAACTTTGTATCAGAGCTACTGGGTTTTTAATACTTGGGCTCGCTGGAAGTGGTTGTCATACCACAATGGGTTCATTTTGCATGATTAGGAAATGTCTTGTTTATTTGTGATTGTATGATAGCATGCTTATGTGACTATGTGGGTATGGGATCAGATTTTTGGGATGTCGTTTGTGCCTATTAGTTTCCTTGAGGTCTTATTAGAAAGATACTTGATTAATACTCCTTCTACTAAGAATTCTTGATTTCTCATGGGATGAATCTCATCACTAAAGGATGATTCATATGTGCTTTGTGTGACTAAGTGCTTATGTGGAGTGAATTAAATTGTTTGTGTGATTGAATATGTATGATTATTGTAGTTTAACACATGAGGCAAGTTGTAAGCACATTTGGAATTATGTGCTAAGTTTGTTTATTTTTTTTCTCAATTAGGATGTCTGAAAGGATCCGAGCACGAGGTGGCAGGGGTGGAAGGCGTGGTAGGGGGCGCCGAGGTGCACATGGAGCACTGGTCCATGAGGCACCGGTGCAAGAAGAAGGTGTAGGCCAAGCTAACATGGCCGAACAAGTGGGGCAAGCGGAGGTGCCGGGGCAAGCCGGCCAAGCAGCAATGGGGGCTCTAGCCTGGGAGATGGCTGGGGCATTGAGGGAGTCTATGAACATATTGAGAGCGGAAACCCAAGCAAGGAAGAACGTTACAGAGACTAGGGCTAGCTTTCTCACGAGGGAGTTTTTAAGGGCCAAGCCAAATGAATTTCATGGCAGCTTTGATCCAAGAAGGCAGATGAATGGTTAGAACAAACGGTAAAGACCTTTGAGATGCTCCATATAGAGGATAGCAAGTTGAGGGTGATCCTTGCCAGTTACTACCTGAAGAGTGATGCGGGCCAATGGTGGAAGTATGCTAAAGGCTGGATAGCACCAACATGGGAGGCGTTTGTAGTGGCCTTCCAAGACAAGTATCTACCCCCTACAGCTAGGAAGAGGTTGAGGAAGGAGTTCAAGGACCTTAAGCAATTAAATATGTCTGTGGTCGAATTTGAAGCAGCCTTCTCTAGTTTGTCCCGGTTTGCACCAGAATTGGTAGTGATGGAAGAGCACCGTTACATCGAGTTTGAGCAGAGATTGAGGACTAAGATCCTATTCAAGGTTGCCAGGAACATGATCCGAGATTATGATCACCATGTGGAGGCGGCTGCTCATGTGGAGATTATTGTGGAGGCCGAGGAGGAGAGACTTCAGAATTCGAGGTCTAGGGGCCAAGGGTCACAGGGGGATTTTAGGCCCAACAAGAAGAGTAAGAGCACCGTTTCATCCCAGTCTCAATCGCAACAATCTAGATCTGCTCACCCCTTGCCTAGTGCAGGCCCAGGGAAGAGTACACCGAGTGGGTTTTCTTGCTTCAAGTGTGGCCAATTGGGTCATAAGGCTTTTGCCTGTCCACAGAAGGGAGGAGGATAGCAGGTATTGCCGCCACCACTGCCTAACCGATCTCAGGGTCAGTCTCAGAGTAGGGGTCAAGGGCCTACTTGCTTTCAGTGCAGTCAATCAGGGCATATGAAGAGAGCTTGCCCTCAATTGGGAGGCACATCTGGCGCTTCAGGGTCTAGGCAGACACAGAGCCACCAGCAGGCTCGCTCAGCTCAGGCTTCACGAGTCCACTAAGGAGCCGCTTTGGCTCAGTCAGTACAACAGGCCTATGCTCTGAGGGATGAGCAGGTTGAGCAGAGACCACAGGGGCGCGTGTATGCAGTTACCACGCCAGAGCAGTTGCCAAGATCCTCGGTAATTAGAGCTATTTTTATTGTGTGTAATTCTTTGGCCAACGTGTTGATAGATACGGATGCGTCTTATTCATTCATATCTGCTACATTGGCATCTGCATTGGGGCTAGAGGTGGTATAGTTAGCGTCTCTACTCAGAGTTAAGTCACCAGTCGGGGGTATAGTTGACTTAGATCGGGGCTGTCGTGATTGTGAGATAGAGGTTGCCGGGCGTAGACTCCCATTTGCTTTTGTGTTGTTAGACATGTCCAGTTTTGCTGCCATTCTAGGCATGGATTGGTTGGCTTCGTATCGGGCTGTGATTGATTGTTTCCGTCGGAGGGTCACAATATGCACCTCGAGTGGGGATTGTTTCTACTTTCTGGGGGGCAGGGTTGATCGAGTCCTATCGCCGGTATGTGATCCTCGTAGTAGGGATGAGCTTAGTGGTCTTCTTGATGCTCTTTTGAATAATGAGAGTGGCGAGACTCGAGTTGAGTTGCCGAGGGTAGTGTGTGAATACCCAGATGTGTTTCCCGAGGACCTTACTAGCTTGCCACCTCATGAGGAGATTGAGTTCACCATCAACTTAGTGCCTGGAACGACACCAATTTCTATGGCACCTTATAGATTTGCACCCGCGGAGTTGCATGAGTTGAAGATTCAACTCCAAGAACTCTTAGACAAGGGTTTCATTCGCCCTAGTACGTCACCTTGGGGAGCGCCGGCTCTCTTTGCAAAGAAGAAAGATGGGTCATTGAGATTGTGTATCGACTATTGTAAATTGAATCGAGTTATCGTTAAGAACAAATACCCTTTATCCAGAATATGACTTATTTGATCAACTTAGAGGGTCTTGTTGCTTTTCGAAGATAAACTTGAGGTCGGGGTACCACTAGTTGAGGGTCCAGGAAGAGGACATCCAGAAAATGGCCTTTAGTATGCGTTATGGCCACTACGAGTTCCTTGTAATGCCATTTGGGTTGACTAATGCACCGGCTTCTTTCATGGATTTGATGAACCGAATATTTAGAGAGTACTTGGCCCGTTTTGTGGTTGTTTTTGTGGACGACATCCTTATCTATTCAATTTCCGAGGAGGAGCATGAGACTCACTTGAGGATAGTGCTAGACTTGCTTAGGGAGCATCAGTTGTATGCCAAATTTGAGAAGTGAGAATTTTGGCTCACCGAAGTGATGTTCTTGGGCCATGTTATGTCAAGAGAGGGGGTAACTGTAGATTCTTCGAAGATAGATTCTGTACAAGATTGGGAGCAACCTAAGAATGTTTTTGAGATTCGAGTTTCTTGGGATTGGCTGGGTACTATCGTCGATTTGTAAGAGATTTCTCTAGACTAGCCGCACCTTTGACAAGGTTGACTAGAAAGGGGGTCAAATTTGTGTGGAGTGAGGCTTGTGAAAAGTCTTTTCAAGAACTCAAGATTAGGTTGACCACGGCACCGGTATTAATCATTCCAGAGAGAGGTTTAGGGTATACCGTCTATTGTGATGCGTCTTGAGAGGGGCTTGGTTGTGTTTTGATGCAAGAGGGAAAGGTTGTAGCGTGTGGTTCACGTCAACTGAAAACTCATGAGACGAATTACCCCACTCACGATTTAGAGTTAGCCGCAGTAGTGTTTGCCTTGAAGATTTGGAGGCATTACTTGTATGGTGAGAAGCTTGAGTTTTTCTCCGACCATAAGATCTTGAAGTATTTGTTTTCCCAAAAAGATTTGAATCTACGTCAACGGAGGTGGATGGAGTTTTTAGAAGACTATGATTTTGAGTTACACTATCACCCGGGGAAGGCCAATATAGTAGCCAACGCCTTAAGTCAAAAAACCGTAAGTGGTTTGGCTAGTGTAGCCATTCGAGAGTGTATTATGTTGGGTGAAGTCGGCATGTTTGAATTACATTTGGATGAATCCAAAAGGGGTGCAACATTGTTTACCTTGAGTGCTCAACCTGTCTTAATTAGTAAAGTTGTAGAGGCATAACAAGGAGACCGTAAAGTAGATTTGATTCATGAGAGAATCTCCAACGGAAAGGAAGAAAAGGGTTCGAACATTCACTCAGATCAGAGTGTACGCTACCTAGATCATTTGTTTGTGCCTGAATCTTGTAGGGAGGAAGTGCTTCGAGAGTTTTATCACTCACGCCTTGCGGTACACCCGGGAGGCACCAAAATGTATCGAGACCTTAGCCGTCAGTTTTGGTAGAGGGGTATGAAGCGGGACGTCGCATCCTTTGTGTCCAAGTGTCTTACTTGTCAACAAGTGAAGGCCGAACATCAGAGGCCAGCGGGTTTGTTACAACCCTTACCTATAGCCAAGTGGAAGTGGGAGCACGTAACCATGGACTTCGTAGATGGGCTTCCTAGATCGCAACGGGGCAATGATGCCATTTGGGTAGTTGTTGATAGATTAACTAAGTCCGCACATTTCATTCCGATGCGTACTAGTGACTCAATTGAGCACTTGGTAGAGTTGTATGTTAGGGAGATAGTTCGGCTTCACGGGGTTCCGGTAACCATTGTGTCAGATAGGGATCCTCGTTTCACCGCCTGATTATGGCAGAGCCTTCAAGAAGCATTGGGAACCAAATTGACCTTTAGCACCACTTACCACCCTCAAACCGATGGGCAGTTGGAGCGCACAATTCAAATTTTGGAGGATATGCTTAGAGCTTGTGTCCTAGATTTCAAGGGATCTTGGGAGAGACACTTACCATTGATTGAATTTGACTACAACAACAGTTATTAGGCTAGCATTGAGATGGCACTGTTTGAGGCCTTGTATGGCCAACCTTGTAGGTCACCAGTTTGTTGGGCTGAAGTAGGGGATGCACCGTTGTTGGGTCCGGAGATTGTTAGGGAGACAACCGAGAAAGTTGCTCTCATTCGAAAGAGGTTAGCTACGGCCCAAAGCCGACAGAAGAGTTACGCCGATAAGAGGAGACGACCTTTATCCTTTGATGTGGGTGATCACGTATTTCTCAACATCTCACCTAGGCAAGGTTTGATGAGGTTTGGTAAAAGTGGTAAGTTGTCTCTGAGGTTCATTGGAGAGAATCGGGGAAGTGGCATACCGGTTAGCCTTACCGCCACAACTGTCGGGAGTACACAATGCATTTCATGTGTCCATGCTTGGGAAGTATGAACCTACCCTTCTTAAGTGCTAGATTGGGTTGATTTGGAGGTAGATGAAGACGACTCTTACGAGGAACGACCGGTTCAAATCCTAGATACCCGGGAGCAAGTATTGCGGGGTAAGACCATACCGTTAGTGAAGGTGTTGTAGAGACACCATGGGATTGAGGAAGCAACTTGGGAACGGGAAGCGGAAGTCCGCGCCAAGTATCCATATTTATTTAGGCATGTTTAGTTGTTTTGTTCTAAATTTGTAATGCTCCCAAGTGTTGAATGGAAAATGTGTTGAATTGTTGATCACATGTTGCTGTATGTAGTGTTAAACTAAATTTTGAGGTTGTGAAAGAAAGAAATTTTATTGCAAACGTTTTGTTTCGTATATCTGGTGTAAGCAATTGTAGCCTTGATGAAATGATAAGGAAGAAAATGAGGTATGTTGGTTAAATTTTGGTGTTGTGATTTGATAGTGCTGTTGAAAAATGATCACCGTTGTTAGGACACTCTTATTGGGTGAGTTTTTTTCTTTTTTCTTTTTTTTTTTGATTTTGGGGAGTTTACTTAAATTTCGGGGACGAAATTTCCTAAGGTTGGGAGGTTGTGACGACCGGGTCTTCCTTTTCCTCGCTTTGTTCTCTTTTCTTTCTTTCTTCACTCTGCCTTTCTTTTATTCTCGTTGAGCTTGAAATGTCCAGAATTTAGCTTTCAAAATAAAAACCTTTTTCTTGTTGCGTTTTGGTATTGGATCTCACTTGTTCTGGAGAGCGCGAGGACAAGTCCGGAGTGTCCGGGAGCCAAATCAGGAAATTCTGGACTTCGGGACTGGGGCCGCACGTACGGGGTTGGGGGCGCACGTGCGGGAGGCCAAGCCGCATGTGCAGGAAGAGAGGAGCCCGAGTGAGTTGCATTCTGCTTAATATGCAGGTGCGGGGGGCAGGTGCGGGACCAGCCGCACATGCAGGGATCAGTGCCGCACGTGCGGGAGAGGGAAGCCCCGCACGTGCGAGCCGGGGCTGATCCAAAGCTCTGCTTTTTTAACCCTTTTTGCAGAATTTGTAACCCATTTGGGGCCTCTCATTCTCACTCTAAACCTCATATTTTCTCCTCCTTCTCTCTAAAAACCTTCATTTAGCACTCCAAACCCTTGATCTCTTGTGATTCTTGGGCCAAAGATCCCCATCATTCCTCCTAAATCTTGAAGATCAAGCTTGGGTTTCTCTTGGTGTTGGAGAAATTGAAGAATACTCCACGTTGGAGCTAGGGTTCTATCATCTTCTTCATCAATCTTGGAGATAGGGATTCTTGAGTTATATATGCTAGTTATGCTATTTTGATGGTGATTTAAAAGCCTTATACTAGTTTGATGATTTCAACTTGTGGTTTCAAAAATGTAGAGATTGTTTTGCCTTGAAGTGGCTAACTTGTAATGGATTAAGCATGGTGAGTTGTTGTTGCTATGAATTGTTGGCACACGGGGATTAATCGATGTTGTTGTAAAGATGTTGAAATAAAGAAATGTTATGGCATATTATGTTTTGGCATCATGTTCTCATT